TGGGTGCCATCTTATTGATGTACTCCTGGATGCTCTGAGTTTCGTCCAGGACAGTGGCTTTGACACTCACCAGACCCTGCCTGCCCTCTTCTGGCTGGTATACAGTCTCCGGTGCTAGACTTGGGATGGAAACCTCCGTACATTGTGAGGAGCTTCCAGGTCTTCACATCAGCAGCTTCCATGTCCTCCTTTGGCCAGCTCACTATACCGGCAGGGTATCTGATGACTGGTAGTGCATACAAGTTGATAGCATGAATCTTGTTCTTCCCATTGAGCTGATTCTTCAGGACCTGTCTTATCCTTTGATGGTACTTGGATGTTGCTGTTTTCCTTGCTCTCTCATCGTGGTTCCCATGTGATTGTGGGATACCAAGGTACCTGTACCTGGTCTGTATGTTGGCTTTGTGGCCCTCTGGTAGTTCCACCCCATCAGTCTTAACTACCTTCCCTCTCTTTACTACCATCTGGCCACACTTCTCTAGTCTGAATGACATCCCAATATTCTCACTGTAGATCCATGTCAGGTGGATCAGCAAGTTTATGTCTCATTCACTCTTAGCATACAGCTTGATGTCATCCATGTAGAGGAGGTGGCTGATGGTAGTTCCACCTTTGAACTTATCCATTCCCAGTCCTTGTGATTATCTGGCTGAGGAGGTTCAAGCCTATGCAGAACAGCAGCAAGGACAGTGCATCACTTGGTATATGCTGCACTTGATGGCCACTTGTGCGAGCTGTCTTGAATTGACTTCCAGTGTTGTCTTCCACAGTCCCATTCAGTTCTTGAGGAAGGTATGAGCAGCTGGATATGTATGTATGTTTTATATTTATATATATAAATATATAAACATATTTTTTATACCTTTTTATGTTAAAAATAATACTCATCGTGACTGTAGCTGATGCTCTGGGACTGCTTTTGATTTCTATGCTTTGTTCTGGAAACATTTTCTTTCTAATTTCCTCCTTCCTGGTTATTAGCTATGCTAGCTGGAATTTGAAGTCAAACACATCTAGAGGGCAAACCTAAAGAGTTTACTCTAGACCAAGGTTTTGAAGTCTTCAGTGCTAGAAGATGTCATGAAATGTCTCAGCTATTTCTGTATATTAAAGCCAAGTCTCCTTCAAATCAGCTAATTCCTAATGACTTCATGGATATGTCCATGTACTGTAGTTATCTTGGCCACAGTAAGGAAGTGGCTTGTTATTACCTTCTTCGGAGATGTTTTTCAACTTCTCTGTTTTAATACTCATTCAAGTACCATCCAGATCTAATGCTGTTTGCTTTCCAAGCCCTGATGAGGTCCCTATTAATTGCCATTTTCCTAACAAAGTATCTTCTTTGGTAGAAAACAGCTGTGGATTAGCTCCATGAAGCAAATATTCAGCTTGCTTCTTAATACTTAAAAAGATAACAGAAAGCTTAATGACTATTTATTTTGTGTGTGAAAAGTGTTTATTTATGTACCCTAATCCTATTGCTGATTATATAATATATAATAAATAAATGGCTATTTTTGGAAGCTGTAGGATATGAAGGGTGTTAAAAGACTTTTTTCTTGATGGATTCTTAGAGCATATTAATATTGCAAATCATGAATTGCATTTTTAAATTATAATTTCAAGGTTGATGAACATTTGGCAATGGGTCAGCTTCAACTAAATTTTTAGCTCCATGTTAATTGAAACTGGAGCATCTCTCTGTCTTGCTGAATATGTCACCCTGAAGCAGGATATGGAATTCAAGGTCAAATAAAGTCTTGTGAACTCAGATGGTTGGCATGAGTAAGATAAGTTCTGTGTCAACAACTT